AGGTCGGCCATGTTGTGCAGCTGCAGGAAGGCGCGCAGCCGGTAGCGATGCACGCGGAGCGCCAGACTGGTCAGCGTGCCGTCCTGCCGGTAGAGGGGACGTCACACGCGGCCATGCCGGGAGATCGGGACTGGGACCGGGACCGGAACCGGAACCGGAACCGGGACTGGGACCAGGACCGGGACCAGGACTGGGACCAGGACCAGGACCGGGACCAGGACCGGGACTGGGACCAGGACCAGGACCGGGATCGGGACCGGGACCGGGCCTGGGACCGGACTGGAGCTGGGACTGGGACCGGGGTCGGGATCGGGAACAGTAACGGGACGACAAATGGCGTCGGTGGTGTCTTGCCGTTCTCCGGAGGTTAGATGATCAATAACGCTGAGCGGCTTTAACTTGACGAATACAATGTCCAAAACCGTACGATCCAATGGAATGCACCCGCGCTGGTGCACACGACGACTCGCACCTGAGCAGCGTTTACACCCGCTCGTCACGCTCCCCTGTCTGCGCAACCCACAGGCCAGCAGTCTTGGAACAGGGCATGCGTAATACCTCAGCCGAAGTTGCCGACCGCCACGAAAACACTCCCTCAGCCGCGTCTACAGGGGCCTGCCGCTTAGTTGCATGGACCGCGCCAGCGAGCAGCGGCGCGACAAGGCGGCTGGGTCGCGCCGTAGCGCCGGACGCACCTTCTTCCTGGCGTCCTCCGGCTTGGCGGTGAACTTGGATTCGATGAACTTGATGGCCTCCAGCGCCTGGGCCGGCTGGTGGGCGCTCAAGCAGCACTCAGTCAGCAGCCAACAGATCCGCTTGGCGATCGAGTCGTCTGCACGGCACACGGCGGTCCTGGTCAGCCCGGCAAGACGGGGGGGGGGGGGGGGATCACGCTGCTGAAGGATCGCCTCACTCTGGGTCAGGCACGGCCGCTACGAATTCAGGCAGGGAAAGACAGGGCAGATATCAGGGCCCAAGCACGAGTTTGCAGCTAAGAGTTGGCATACCTGCTTCCGCATTCATACCCCAGCAGAACGACATTTCGTACCGCGAGTGTCGTTGATTGGACAGCTGAGGTTGGCAGCACCCTGGCGCGTTCTCTGGTCCGCGGCCAGACGCACCCGACTCCGGCAGCCATGTTGTGATCAGTTGACGGTTCACGTCAAATATAATCTCCGCGAATTGGTATTACGTTCCACTATTGAGTGGAAAATGCGGGCTTTAAGTGCTTTAAAAATCATGAACATATGAATTCAGATTTATCTTAACATCACACGTAATTTTCCCCCATGATGTAGCCCGTTCCTCCAAGATCTGGCTACATTTAACAAGACCTTAATAGAAAATGCAGTAACCAGAGGGCCTCATGGGAGCATCTCGCAGCACTGTAGCATTCGTAAAACTCAGGTAAATGACCATCAGAAATCATAACGATTATGCTCTCTAACTACTACAACTATTCGGTCGCTTTATTCTTCTTGTACTGTTCGCCCGAAAGAAAAGTCTATTCCGCGTTACATCTAGGGATTTCCGATGAACTACAGGTTTACGTAGCACCGCTTTGTATATATCTGTGTGTGTGTGCGTGTGCGTGCGTGTGCGTGTGCGTGTGCGTGTGCGTGTGCGTGTGCGTGTGCGTGTGCGTGCGCGTGCGCGTGCGCGTGCGCGTGCGCGCGTTGCGTGCGTGCGTGCGTGCGTGCGTGCGTATTGCCCGTGCGTGTGTGTGTGTGTGGTGTGTGTGTGTGTGTGTGTGTGTAATATGTATGTAATATGATGTCATGTATACATATATGTATATTTCATATGCTTATATATATTGGTGTGTGCGCACGCGTGTGCGTGCGTGCGTGGGCGTGCGTGCGTGCGTGCGTGCGTACGTGCGTGCGTGCGTCTGGTGCTCGGTGCGCATTTGGAAGAGCCTCGAAACGAAGTTTCTTAGCAGTCTTGCATCTTTTGGCCGATGGGCAGGGAGAAAGATAGCGACGACAGCTCCAGAGGTGGGCGTGCCAGGCGTCTCATTGGGGCCACATAATACCTGCATCCTGCAGACTTCTGCTGATTCGTACACAGACCGGTTTTAAGGCACTAGTTCTGCCTGGTGTAAAAAGTCGCGTTAGGTGTTCTGAAAAAATGCTCTGAAAGGCCGGTTTGCATTCAGCTGAGCGACATTCAATGCGTAGCGTAGCTGAGTATCCCGCGTCGGAGATAACGGCGGCTCGTTTACCTCCATTAGAAGGCTCGCGATAAGCCTGGCTCGAAATGTCCCACTCACGATGTTATCACTCACGATGTGCGCACACAGTCGTGGTGCACAGTGCCAAGAGTGAGCTCTGCTGAGTCACTCGCACACTCAAACGCGTGACACCCGCACTCAAACATGGAGCGAATCAGCGTCCTCTACGGGGTCAGCCTCGAAAGATATCCTCGAGACGACCTTGAAGATGTTGAATGCCTTAGAGTACCGATCCCTGAGCTTTCTTAAGGGCGTGTGTTACGACGGACTTCTGTTGATATATATATATATATATATATATATATATATATATATATATATATATATATATATATATGAACACTAGACCACATGCGTTTCGCCCAGAGTTCTCGCCGCTTCAATGCACGCAACTCGTGTAGTTTGCAGAAACATATCGCAACTTTTCGTAGGTCATATAGACGAGTGATGCCTCGAACACTGTATTCCGTGCCCAACACAATGGTTCGCAATAAAATGCAGCTCTATCGAAACAATAGCACGAGTCAACCGCGCAGACATCTTATAATGTGACAAAGTCACTCTACATGGATAAGACGAAGGAGAGCTCCACCGTTTCAGAGGGACAGCGCAGGGTCACAAAGGATACTTCATGTCCTGAAACGGCGTCCAAAAGGGAGCTTCCGGATGATCGCTGATGCCAGGAAACATGGACATGTGGAAACTTCTGCCCGGCTCGCCCTGGTCAAGCGAACTCAGCGCCGCCATGTCCAGCTCGTCAAGCTGGAAGCTGAAAATGTCTCCGTTCTCACGGATCCGCGTCGCCTTGGTCGACTTGGGGATGACAATGATGTCCTGCTGGGCCAGGAAGCGCAGCAGAACCTGCGCTGCTGTCCGCTTGTGCTTCTCCGCTACCAGGCGCACCACCGGGTTGTTCAGCAGGTCCGGTAGCTCCACGGTCGCGCCGCGGCTCTCGTACAGCACCTTGCGGCCGGGGGAGCCCAGCGGAGCGTACGCTGTGATGGCAATGTTGTGCTTCTTGCACGCCTCGCGCAGTGCGCGCTGCTGGAAATAGACGTGACATTCCACCTGGTGCACAGCGGGAGGTATCTCAGCATTGGAGACTATCTTCAGAACTTGCTTGGCGTTGAAGTTGGACACGCCGATCGATTTTGTCAGGCCAAGTTTCACCATCTTTTCCATTTCCTTCCACACGGCGATCAGGTCAGTCGAAAACTCTATCAGCGGTTTACCATCCTGCGAGGGAAAGACGTCCGTCTCACTTCTCTCCACACACCCAAACGGCGTATGGACAAGGTACAGATCGACGCAGTCAAGACCCAGTAGTTTCAGCGACTTTTTTAGGTACTTCTCCACCTTGCCTTCCTGCATGCCGGCATTGGGCAGCTTGGTGACCACGAAGAGGTCGCTCCTGGTCATCTTGCCCGACTTCAGGGCGGCCTGGATGCCCTCTCCGACGCCGTCCTCGTTCATGTAGAGGTACGCGGTGTCGATGTGCCGGTAGCCAGCTAGCAGGGCGGCTTCCACAGCGGCGGCCACCTCCTGGCTCGGAGCCTGCCAGCAGCCCAGTCCCAGCAGCGGCATCCGCTGTCCTCCCGAGAGCGTCACCGAAGTGTTCATGGTGCGTGGCGGTGCCTCCTCGGTCCGTGCGGGCTCAGGCGCGACTGGGCCGTCCGGGAACTGGCCGCTGTTCAGCGTGGCGGACTCGGGTGGGCCGGCCGAGCCGCCCAGCTCTTCCCGGCACGGGGGGGGGGGGGGATCCGGCCGGGTCGACCACCACCAGTGCCGACACCGCGGCCTTTGCTTCGATGTCCGCGACGAGCTCATGATGTTGCAAGCACACTGACATCCGCGAACGGCAGCCGAAACGTGCTTGGTCCTGATAGATGCACACGAAGTCCACGGCAGGCCGGCTGCACGCATTTTATCAGGAACGACGCCGTTTGTTATTTAGACAACAGAACGCAAGACATGTTGCATTAGGCGCAATTCTCATCTAATCGGTCAGATTGTTCCGTTACATGCAACCGACACTTTATGACATTAAGCATCTTCACCGCCAAAGGCGTGCGAGCAATCACGACATTCGAGTGGCAATAAAATTATGCGGAAAGAAAAACGCATCAGAGAAGAACAAACCAAACGCATTTTGACTACTCAATTCATGCTTAGTTCATTGTTTATTGCATATTTTTGTGTTCCATTCATGCAGCGCGCTGCACTCTAACGGAACAGCTAGAAATACAGAAGGTAGTGACGAAGATATCCACCCTATTTTGTATTGATTGAATCACACCAGTAAGCCCTCCTGCTAATGAAGGCGCAAGATCCCTGAGGTACACGAGACCACCAGCCGGCAAATGCAACGCGCCAAGCAATTCAAATCGCAGCTCATCTGAGTGACGACACAGTTCACCACTCGCGAAGTGCACGATTCGAGGTGAAGTGAATACGCTTGTATCCAAGCTGCTTGCATATTACTTTTGAATACACTTGTATCCAAGCTGCTTGCATATTACTATTTCATAACCATAACCTAAATGTGGAACAGTTCATTTAAAGGAAGCATGCCACCTCGTCTGTGCTTTTAACTTTTTCTTAGATCAGGCGTGTCCCATTTGATCCGTGGTACCAGATCTGCTGAAATCTTTGACTGTAGTGGCCACTCCGCGACAGAAATCTCACTGAGCTCCTTTTGCATCACTAAAAAAATAATACATTTCATTCGCTTTGCTTTTTCAACATGTGTGTTCTGAAATGTTTCCAATACACTGATTCGTCAAAAGGCTTGTGTTGTCATGGTTGATTGGGATTTTCGGGCACGTCGACAACAGTGGTCATTTGGCGCCCATCACCAAGTTTTTACCCAAGTAGTAAACCTGTTTAAATGGCTTTCAAGAAGATATATTTAAAAAACGAAGCGAGCTGATTACATTCCAGAAAGCGCGAGTTGTCTCCTAGACTGTCACAGAACGTCAGAAGCCATGTCTCCTAGACTGTCACAGAGCGTCAGACGCCGTGTCTCCTAGACTGTCACAGAACGTCAGAAGCCATGTCTCCTAGACTGTCACAGAGCGTCAGAAGCCATGTCTCCTAGACTGTCACAGAGCGTCAGAAGCCATGTCTCCTAGACTGTCACAGAGCGTCAGAAGCCATGTCTCCTAGACTGTCACAGAGCGTCAGAAGCCAGTCATCCCGTGCAAAGAGACATTGACATTCTTCTACCAGACGCGCTCGCGGATATAATCACATGACGAACGGCGAGAACAGCAGTACATCGATGGCGGAGAAGTTTATCGGCTCCCTCCAACAGATAGACGTGGGTTGCATACTTGTGACCCATACGTACTACGCAGAGGACAGCCTCTTATCGCATAACCTTGCGAGACCAAGACAACCACTGACCCAGCTGGGGTTTATTGCTCTGAGCCTACTGCTTTCTGCCCCATGCCTAAAACACTGCAAAATGTTTGCATGATAAATGCTACGAAATCTAGGAACTCCCTTTTTAGGGAAAACGGCATACAAACATGAGGCAATTACTACGCCAATTTAACGAAACGCTTTCCTACGTTTTTCATTTATGTCATGTGGCGTATAGCACAGTGGCTCTTCTCGCAACATACTTTGGCTCTTGGACAAAGACGCATCACGTGGTTTATAGTTTCACGCTGGTTCAAGCTTCAACAGACGCAGTTCCCGCAAAATGACCTTCACCGCCCGTTATCCTAAACATGAACCACTTGCTTGCACTGGCGTTATTCATACCAGTGGGGGTGTCACTTTCAAGCCCACAGGCCTGCAACCTGCGGGTTCAAACGGCAGCAGCGAGAGGTGCATCTATACTGCTACAGATGATGATCGCCATCGACAGATTCTGCCACCGTCAGTGGTCGCGAACTGGAACTACACCATAAGATAAAAAGGAACAGAGGAGTGTAGTGATGTGACAACACGCTAGAAGCGTAATTTGGGACCGAAAATAACTAATAGCATTGTCCTCATTATACCTTGATGCTGTTGCCGTGACAATACCTAGCGCTTTTATTACGCGCAAATGGTCCTGAGGTTTACCCGGAGTACGCTTCTGAAATATGTCTCAAACGTGGAACACTCCTTTCAATGCCCTGAAACGATAATTAAAAGGTAGCCTCCGGATGATCACGGACGCCAGGAAACATGAACATGCAGAGAATTCTGTCCGACCCGCCCAGGTCCAGCGAGCTTAACGCCGCCATGTCCAGCTCGTCCAACTGGAAGCTGAAGATGTCTCCGTTCTCATGGATACGCACCGCCTTGGTCGACTTGGGAATAGCAGTGATGTCCTGCTGGGCCAGGAAGCGCAGCAGGACCTGCGCTGCTGTCCGCTTGTGCTTTTGTGCCACCAGGCGCACCACCGGGTTGTTCAGCAGGTCCGGTAGCTCCACGGTCGCACTGCGACACTCCACTCCCAACTCTTCCATCAAAAATTGGAATCCCATGGCTGGAGGATCCCGAGCCAAAGTCTTCAAGACGGCACCCGCAATGCACTTTGGCCACAAAACCCTGGATCAGAGTACTCAAGACCATCTCATTCTGACAACACCCGTCATCTCGTTAGCTGGTCACTTCTGCTGCGTTGCTAAGTGGTGCCACCTATAGTTACAACAGGGAATGGACAGTTTCCCAAAATCATTTAAATGCGTCTCGATATCTGGGTCAGAATATATATATATATATATATATATATATATATATATATATATATATACCAGCACTAGACCACATGCATTTCGTTAACAGTTTTCGCTGCTTCAATGCATGCAGTTATTGTAATTTGCATGAACAGATTGTAACTTTCATAGGTCACATAGACGAGTGATACCTCGAACACTGTATTCCGTGCCCAACACAATGGTTCGCAATAAAATGAGCACTAGCGAAACAATAGCACGAGTCAACCACGCAGACATCTTACAATGGGACAAAGTCACTCTACATAGATAAAACGAAGAAGAGCCCCACCGTTTCAGAGGGACAGCGTCACAAAGGATACTTCATGCCCTGAAACGGCGCCTAGAAGGGAGCTTCCGGATGATCGCTGACGCCAGGAAACACGGACATGCGGAAGGTTCTACCCGGCTCGCCCTGGTCCAGCGAACTCAGCGCCGCCATGTCCAGCTCGTCAAGCTGGAAGCTGAAGATGTCTCCGTTCTCACGGATCCGCGTCGCCTTGGTCGACTTGGGGATGACAATGATGTCCTGCTGGGCCAGGAAGCGCAGCAGAACCTGCGCTGCTGTCCGCTTGTGCTTCTCCGCTACCAGGCGCACCACCGGGTTATTCAGCAGGTCCGGTAGCTCCACGGTCGCGCCGCGGCTCTCGTACAGCACCTTGCGGCCGGGGGAGCCCAGCGGAGCGTACGCTGTGATGGCAATGTTGTGCTTCTTGCACGCCTCGCGCAGTGCGCGCTGCTGGAAATAGACGTGACATTCCACCTGGTGCACAGCGGGAGGTATCTCAGCATTGGAGACTATCTTCAGAACTTGCTTGGCGTTGAAGTTGGATACGCCGATCGATTTTGCCAGGCCAAGTTTCACCATCTTTTCCATTTCCTTCCACACGGCGATCAGGTCAGTCGAACAATCTATCAGCAGTTTCCCATCCTGCGAGGGAAAGACGTCCGTCTCACTTCTCTCCACACACCCAAACGGCGTATGGACAAGGTACAGATCGACGTAGTCGAGACCCAGCAGTTTCAGCGACTTCTTTAGGTACTTCTCCACCTTGCCTTCCTGCATGGCGATCATGGGCAGCTTGGTGACCACGAAGAGATCCCTCCTGGTCATCCTGCGTGTTTTGAGGGCGGCTCGGATTCCCTCTCCGACGCCGTCCTCGTTCAGGTAGTTGTAAGCGGTGTCGATGTGCCGGTAGCCGGCTAGCAGGGCGGCCTCCACGGCGGCGGCCACCTCCTGGCTCGGAGCCTGCCAGCAGCCCAGCCCCAGCAGCGGCATCCGCTGTCCTCCCGAGAGCGTCACCGAAGTGTTCATGGTGCGTGGCGGTGCCTCCTCGGTTCGTGCCGGCTCACGTGCGACTGGGCCACCCGGGAACCGGTCGGTGCTTTTATCGTGGCGGACTCGCGTGGGCCGGCCGAGCCGCCCAGCTCTGCCCGGCACGGGAGGGGGGGGGGGGGGGGATCCGGCCGGGTCGACCACCACCAGTGCCGACACCGCGACCTTTGCTTCGGTGCCCGCGACGAGCTCATGATGTTGCAAGCACACTGACATCCGCGAACGGCAGCCGAAGCGTGCTTGGTCCTGATAGATGCACACGAAGTCTACGGCAGGCCGGCTGCACGCATTTTATCAGGAACGACGCCGTTTGTTATTTACGCAACAGAAATCAAGATATGCTGCATTAGGCACAATTCTCATCTAATCGTTCACATTGTTCCCTTACATACGATCGACATATGGCGACATCAAGCATCTACACCGCCAACGGCTTGTGAAAAATCACGACATTTGAGTGGCAATAAAATTATGTGGGAAGAAAAACGCATCGGAAAAGAATAAACCAAAAGCATTTTGATTACTCAATTCATGTTCAGTTCATTATTTATTGCATAGTTTTGTGTGCAGTTCATGCAGTGCGCTGCACTCTAAAGGAACAGCTAGAAATACAGAAAGTAGTGACTAAGATATCCATCCTATTTTGTATTGATTGAATCACACCAGTAAGCCCTCCTGCTAATGGAGGCGCAAGATGCCTGAGGTACACGAGACCACCAGCCGGCAAATGCAACGCGCCAAGCAATTCAAATCGCAGCTTATCTGAGTGACGACACAGTTCACCACTCGCGAAGTGCACGATTCGCCTATGCTTTTATCCCAGCTGCTTGCATATTACTTTTGGACGCAAAAAGCAGAAAATGTGTAGGGCATACAATGTCGAGGAACCTAAATTGGATCGCATGCTGCAAACAATACGAAGGTTTATGATGCAATGACGCCACCTTATGTGATATGACCCCACACACGTACATTTTATCAACTTTTACCGCACCGAAGTAACCAACGAATAATAACTGAGATCCACCATCTAGTCAAAGCGCTGTCGCATTCTGCTACTGCACGTAAAGGCACCGCAAAACTGCACTTCGCACCCACCGAACTGCCTCGTTCCGCCAATGTCCAAAGCCAGAAAAGCACACGGTGTACAGCGGCCGTGATTGGTGCAACGAGCCTAACCCATGACCACATAGCAATTCCGACACGCTCACGCACCATGACTGGCAAAAATAAGGCACTAGACTCAATTCAAAAGCTAGCAACCGCACGCAGCACATCCGCAGAACAGAAGACGCCCGTCACCATGACGGCGCGAGACTTGGTCCGCTCTCCCGGCTGAGCGAGCAAGTCACTTATGTACACAGACCATCCGACAGCAATGGCGCAGCCAGTGGAGAGGAGAGGGGGTCTCATGGGCTTTTGGTCCCCCCCCCCCTCCCCACTCCCATCCGCAGATTCGGAACCTGGTGATCAGGAAAGCTGTCTTGGTTTTCAATCTCAGACGCGGCCACGGACAGCAATATGAAGAGCCCAACAATCGTACTTTGGTAACAAGGGGAGCGGACCGCTGAGAGACTATGTGCGGTAAGCAGCTGAAGCAATTGTTCAAGGCACCATGGCAGTCCAACAGTTATAGCTGATACATCATTGATACGCTACGTACTGTACCTATCAACAGTTGTGGGGTCCGTTAATCTCTTTGCGGTGCGTAGGCATTGTCAATGGAACTGCGACTCGCTCTTAAAAATAGTCCTTACAATCACGAATCATGGTAATCCCCCCCCCCCCCTGCGAATTCATATCCAAATTAATGTGCCTAGCACACACTGCTGTTTAGTTGCGTGAAATAATGGCACGGACCATAAACACTTGCCCTCGCAGAGTCATCCCATGTCTCAATATGCAATAAGCATAGCATGCATGCACTGAATGATTTTACAAAAACTGCAGTTGTAGCTTTGCTTTCAGAGCACGTAGCTTGTCTTTGCGAGAGCGCAGCCCAGTAACGGTTAAATGCACGAGGAATGCGAATGCCTACACCTGCATTTGATCGCCGACCATTCACACGGAATAGTGGTTCAGTGTTTCACGTACTACGCGTCTATGGCTCAGGTGAAAGCCGACAATGAGAAGTGGTAAGCCGATGCCGGCAACGCTATACACCTCGCGTTTGTAATTGTCATCACGGCGTCTCAAAATCAGGGGCGTGGAGTCGTGCTCATTTAGAGGGACTTGAGTCCTCAACTCGGAGGTCCATGTTCGTGAACTCACATCCCTCTCCTCCCCCCCCCCCCCCCCTCCCCCGTTAAGACATCATGCTCATCAAGTCGCCAAATAGCGTGTGCAGCATGGAGGGAAATTTCATGGTTTGTTTTTTTCCTATTAATTCTTTGAACAATCTACAGAAGGAACGTCGATAACTACAGATACATCTATGAGGTATGTCCAGGCACACACTATCTTTCAACACACTAGGTTGGTTTTCAGCTAAACGGCCACCCGGCTAAACGGCTAGCCGTCTAGCCGCGGATCGATGAGCCAGCTGACCCACTAGTTGGCCGTGGGGAGGCTGGAAGCTGTTAAAAACACCTATGCACACATTCGAAAGGTGCCTGTGCCCATGCCAATTGTTCTAGCCTGGTGTGGTAGCATGAACACAACGTTTCGGCCAGTTAACCAGCCATCACCAGTTGTTACGGAGTAGTGAACTGGACGATGTTTGACTTTCAGACATGTACGCGTCACAACCTGAATTATCTCCTTGGCATTTCTGGGACTCAGTGCGTGCGTGCGTGCGTGCGTGCGTGCGTGCGTGCGTGCGTGCGTGCGTGCGTGCGTGCGTGCGTGCGTGCGTGCGTGCGTGCGTGCGTGCGTGAGTGTGTGTGTGTGTGTGTGTGTGTAACATGTGCATGTGTATTGGCAATAGACTAAATGGGTTTAACTCATAGTTCTGGCAACCGCAATTTATACAGTTTGTGTAGTCCGACAGAAAAAAGTTCGCAACTTTTCAGAGATCTCCATAGATGAGTGGTACGTGAAACACTGCATGTCGTGTCCTGTAAAATGGCAAAAGATACAATGCGGATCTTGCGAAATGGCATACCAGTTAACTGCGCAGACCTCTCAGCGATTCTTCTAGGAATGGCAATGTTCAACAGCTAAGCATATTGAAGCAAGCGTCACGATTAGTGAATAAGGCCCACTTGGAACTAACGGTATGCCTTTAAAAGGGAAGGGCTAGACGGCCTACCTAATCTGTTGACAGTCCCATGTTCCAAGCCCATGGGACTGATCGGCACAAAATCTTTACCAATCGATAAGTTATAGTAAATAACCTACCCAATAAATGTCCTGTACAGAACATGATCACCTTTGGTCTGGCCACAGGCCACCGAAAACGGCCAAAACCGTATGAACTTAGTTTGCAGACACCCTTATGTCCCAAGCCTATGGGACAGATCGGCAACAAACGTTTACCAATCGATGTGCCATAGTCGATATCCTATTCATTCCAGAGCAAGATGACCTTGAGTCAGGTCAAAGGTCATCAAAAACACCCCAAAACCTACAACGCTGGCTGCAGACAACCTAACGCTCCAAGCCCATGACACCGATCAGCATAAAACCTTCATTAATCGATGCACCATGGCCGACATCCTATCCTGTCCAAAACGTGGTGATCTTGGGTTGGGTCAAATGTCACCAAAAAACGCCCCCAAACCACCTGAAACTAGTCTGCAGACAACCCCACGCTCCGAGTCTCTGGGACTGATCGACACCAAACCCTCACCAATCGATGCGCCCTAGTCGATGTACTATCGTTCCAGAACATGGTGACCTTGAGGCAGATCAAAGGTCAACAAAAATGGCCAGGCCCACCAAAATTGGCTTCAAGCAGCCCCAATGCCCCGAGCTTATGGCACCGGTCAGCACCAAACCTTCACCGAGCGACGCGCCATAGTCGTTATCCTATCCTTTCGAGAACATGTTCACCTTGAGTCAGGTTGAAGATCACAAAAAATGGCCCGCACCACCACAATTGCTGCAGACAACCTCCTGCTCCAAGCATATGACACCCATATACATTAAACCTTCACCAATCGACGCGCCATTATCGACAGGTTATCGATTTTGGCACATTGATTGGTAAGGGTTTGTTGCCAAACTGTCCCAAAGGCCCAGAGCATGGAGTTGTCTGCAAATTAATTTCGGGTGGGTTTGGCCATTTTCGGTGACCTTTTACGAGACCTAAGGTTACCATTTTATGGACAGGATTGGATGCCGGCTACGGCGCATCAATTTATAAAGTTTGCATACTGATCTGTCCCATAGGCTCGGGGCATGGTGTTGTCTGCGGCCATTTTCGTGGTTTTGGGCATTTTTGGTGCGTTTTGACCTGACTCAAGGTCACCATGTTCTGAAAGGGATAGGACAGTGACTATGGTGCATCGACTGTTGAAGATATTAAGCTGATCGCTTCCATAGGTTCGGAACATGGCGCTATCTGTAACCGTATTTTCCGTTTTTATATTTTGTGACTTTTGACCTGACACAAGCTCACCATGTTCTAGAACGGATAGGATATCGACTAAGTGGCATCGAATGGTGAAGGTCTGGCATCGATCGGTTCTATAGGCTCGGAGCCTGGGGCTATCAACAGGTTTGCTCGGCCATTTAGTCCCTCATTTTAACCTGCGCCCGGCCGGAGGGGAGCTGACTTCCCCTGAGATCTCAAACTTCCAGACTTCGTATGCGGAAAACAAAGATATCGTTTTGAACGCATCATCAAATCTGAAGAATGTACACCAATTTTTACCTTGGGTCAAATGTAAAGTCACCCCAGGCCATGACAGGCTAAAAACGGTCGTTCCGACCGATGCAATTACAACCCAACCTACGTTAACACGTCGTGACGGATACCAAGGGCGCGGAAATACACCTTACTAATGTAGAGTCCATTCCGACCATTTCTATTCCCCACGTGGATCAGGTCAGATCAGGTCACCATTCAAAACTGCTACACCAGCAGCCTACAAGAACGATGCTTTTCTTCACGATGTGCTTCAGACTAAGTTTATTTTATGGGATGCATCTCTGGAAAAAGGAATTCCAAACACAAAAATACCATTTAAGGGTAACCTAAAGTTCATCTGAGGTCAACTCATGTCAAATTTATAAACCATCCAAACGAAAAATTTGAAGTGCTAACCGGGTCCATGTGACCAGTAGAATGTTTTCATGCGGCCAGAAATACTGTATTGTACATATACAGGTACTTAAGATCACATAGGTGTTGTCTTCATTACACACAGCTCTCTCGACGTTTGGAGACGCATATATAGCGAATTGAGAACAAGTGCGCTGGCACATGAAAATGGACGTCATCAGCTTCACAGACACGATAAAGAGGTGGTTACACGCGTCACACTCATTCATCTAGCCTCTCCGCTACTGGTAACAAAGGTCAATAACATTGGATGGCTTTATGTGACCTTTAATTTCCCCATATGATCTACTATGACCTCATTATGCATTCGAATAATAGCAAATAAGGATTCCATTCGAGGATTCGAATTCCGCATCCAAAAATACCCAAAAACTGTCTGCTTTCGGCTCAGCGTGTGTTTTGCAAAAGGTACCAATATAGATAGGTAATGACCTGGGCCAAGGTTATGTGCTGTGTGGTCATATGATAGCTGTGCATGCAAGTTAGCACTCTTTTCATATCCGAACATCAAAAATACACAATAATACGTACAACTTACCTTAAACACGAAAATAATTGCAAAAATTTACCTGACTTCAGGTCACTGACCTAGCAATTTCGGAACAATCTGCAATACACAAATTGTAGGCACTATCATATTATACTACTAAAAGTTTGAACAATGACAAATGAACCACAAAACTGTGCTCGAAGTTTTTTAGAGGTTGACCTCTTTGACCTGGCCTAGGTAACTGATCGTGGCATACCAAAACAAAGCTTCGCAGAAAGGATGCCAAATTAATGGATAAACAGGTATTGATAATTTTGTGTTGCTGCGGTCGTTCACGTTTTGTCTGTACTCGAAAAACCGTACGGGGTTTTAGTCGACTTCCCCGGCCGGGCGTGGGTTTAAGCGCAAGACTGCACTACAAGACAACAAAATGCCACCATTTCGTGAATATGTACCGTGATACGTCACGGTATGATTATGTGATGAAAAGTTTGTGTAAAAGTCGCTGCCAGATCAGCCGTGGGAGAATTACCACGGAAGCGGAAAGCCTGACTCGCTTGGAGTATTTTAACTCCACAAGAGGTGGCTTGTTAATGGATGCGTGTAAAATAAACGAGTTTTGTTTTGTGTGTCTGTTGGAAACCTTTTTCGTGGTTTTATTGCGCACTTCTCCATGATAGTATGCTTTTTAACTTGCATTTGCATTTTCGGTTACGATATTATTCCATTCCAGTCATTCGATTTCCAGCCGCATTTCCGTCACAGTGGTGGTGATGTGGTTTTTAAGGGCGCGTCGGCATTAGGGCATTTCCGTCACAACTAACAGAACTGCCCAAATATGTATTTGAACTATGTATCACAAAAGCGCCGTCCACGTTCGAAACTTGCATTTAAAGCGTCCAACTGGTCGCAAACCAACTGCCGTCCGTTGATGCAACGATGTGTACTGACGTACTTCAGGCATTATTAAGTGAATGGTCATATTTTTCAGTATGCTGAACACAATATCATAAATGAGAAGGCGGAATTCGTGTCACGTTTCTATAACGTCATAATCTCTGGGTGAATTCAAATTGCGCAGCGCTAAATAGGGTACACAAGTTCGCGGGCGCCTAGCTCAGAAAGAAGAAAATTTATTAAAAAGTATAACAGTGGACTGCAGGGGATCATTCTGAAAATTGCTATCTCGACCACAGCCCCATACAAATCTGGAACAGTTCATTTAAAGGAAGCATGCCACCTCGTCTGTGCTTTTAACTTTTTCTTAGATCAGGCGTGTCCGACTTGATCCGTGGTGCCAGATCTGCTGATATCTTTGACTACAGTAGCCACTCCGGCGAGAGAAACCTCACTGAGCTCCCTTTGCATCACTAAAAAAATATTGCATTTCATTCGCTTTGCTTTCCCAACATGTGTGTTCCGCAATGTTTCCAATACACTGATTCGTCAAAAGGCTTGTGTTGTCATGGTTAGTTGGGATTTTCGGGCACGCCAACAACAGTGGTCATTAGGCTCCCACCACCAAGTTTTTATCCAACTAGCAAACCTGTTTAAATGGCTTTCAAAAAGATCTGTTCAAGAAACGAGCGAGCTGATTACATTCCCGAAAGCGCGAGTTGTCTCCTAGACTGTCACAGAGCGTCAGAAGCCATGTCTCCTAGACTGTCACAGAGCGTCAGAAGCCATGTCTCCTAGACTGTCACAGAGCGTCAGAAGCCATGTCTCCTAGACTGTCACAGAGCGTCAGAAGCCAGTCATCCCGTGCAAAGAGACATTGGCATTCTTCTACGAGACGCGCACGCGATATAATCACATGACGAACGGTGAGAACAGCACTACATCGATGGCGGAGAAGTTTATCGGCTCCCTCCCTCAGATAGCCGTGGGCTGCATACTTGTGACCGATATGTACTCCGCGGAGGAAAGCCTCTTATCGCATAACCTTGCGAGAACAAGATAACCACTGATCCAGCTGGGGTCTATTGCTCTGAGCTTACTACTATCTGCCCCATGCCCACAACACTGCAAAATGTTTGCATGATAAAGGCTACGAAAGCTTGGAACTCCCTTTTCAGGGAAAACGGCATACAAACATGAGGCAATTACTACGCCAATTTAACGAAACGCTTTCCTACGTTTTTCATTTATGTCATGTGGCGTTTAGCACAGTGGCTCTTCTCGCAACATACTTTGGCTCTTGGACAAAGACGCATCACGTGGTTTATAGTTTCACGCTGGTTCAAGCTTCAACAAACGCAGTTCCCGCAAAATGGCCTTCACCACCCGTTATCCCAAACATGAACCACTTGCTTACACTGGCGTCATTCATACCAGTGGGGGCGTCACTTTCAAGCCCACAGGCCCGCAACCTGCGGGTTCAAACGGCAGCAGCGAAAGGTGCATCTATTCTGTTGCAGCTGATGATCACCATCGACAGATGCTGCCACCGTCAGTGGTCGCGAACTGGAACTACACCATAAGATAAAAAGGAACAGAGGAGTGTAGTGATGTGACAACACGTTAGAAGCGTAATTTGGGATCGAAAATAGCTAACAGCATTGTTTGCAATAACATTGGCGTTGCCGTGACACTACTTAACGCTTTTATTACGCGCAAATGGTCCTGAGGTTTACCCGGAGTACGCTTCTGAAATATGTCCCAAACGTGGAACACTCCTTTCAATGCCCTGAAACGATAATTAAAAGGTAGCCTCCGGATGATCGCGGACGCCAGGAAGCATGAACATGCAGAAAGTTCTGTCCGACCCGCCCTGGTCCAGCGAGCTCAACGCCGCCACGTCCAGCTCGTCCAGCTGGAAGCTGAAGATGTCTCCGTTCTCATGGATCCGCGCCGCCTTGGTCGACTTGGGAATAGCAATGATGTCCTGCTGGGCCAGGAAGCGCAGCAGGACCTGCGCTGCTGTCCGCTTGTGCTTCTGCGCCACCAGGCGCACCACCGGGTTGTTCAGCAGGTCCGGTAGCTCCACGGTCGCACTGCGACACTCCACTCCCAACTCTTCCATCAAAAATTGGAATCCCATGGCTGGAGAATCCCGAGCCAAAGTCTACAAGACGGCACCCGCCATGCACTTTGGCCACAAAACCCTGGATCAGAGTACCCAAGACCATCTCATTCTGACAACAACCGTCATCTCGTTAGCTAGTCACTTTTGCTGTGTTGATAACAGTGGTGCCACCTATAGTTACAACGGGAATGGACAGTTTCCCAAAATCATTTAAATGCGCCTCGATATCTGGGTAAATATATATATATATATATATATATATATATATATATATATATATATATATATATATATATATATATATCAGCACTAGACCATATGCGTTTCGGTAACAGTTTTCGCTGCTTCAATGCATGCAGTTACTGTGTTTTGCAGGAACAGATTGTAACTTTTCATAGGTCACGTAGACGAGTGATACCTCGAACACTGTATTCCGTGCCCAACACAATGGTTCGCAATAAAATGAGCTTTGGCGAAACCTTAGCATGAGTCAACCAACCGCGCAGACATCTTATAACGTGACAAAGTCACTCTACATAGATAAAACGAAGGAGAGCCCCACCGTTTCAGAGGGACAGCGCAAGGCCCCTAGAGATACTTCATGCCCTGAAACGGCGTCTAAAAGGGAGCTTCCGGATGATCGCTGACGCCAGGAAACATGTGCATGCGGAAGGTTCTACCCGGCTCGCCCTGGTCCAGCGAACTCAGTGCCGCCATGTCCAGCTCGTCAAGCTGGAAGCTGAAGATGTCTCCGTTCTCACGGATCCGCGTCGCCTTGGTCGACTTGGGGATGACAATGATGTCCTGCTGGGCCAGGAAGCGCAGCAGAACCTGCGCTGCTGTCCGCTTGTGCTTCTGCGCCACCAGGCAAACCACCGGGTTGTTCAGCAGGTCCGGTGGCTCCAAGGTCACACCGTGGCTCTCGTACAGCACCTTGCGGCCGGGGGAGCCCAACGGAGCGTACGCTGTGATGGCAATGTTGTGCTTCTTGCACGCCTCGCGCAGTGCACGCTGCTGGAAATAGACGTGACATTCCACCTGGTGCACAGCGGGAGGTATCTGAGCATTGGAGACTATCTTCAGAACTTGCTTGGCGTTGAAGTTGGATACGCCAATCGATTTTGTCAGGCCAAGTTTCACCATCTTTTCCATTTGCTTCCACACGGCGATCAGGTCAGTCGAACAATCTACCAGCAGTTTCCCATCCTGTGTGGGAGAGACATCCGTCTCACTTCTCTCCACACACCCACACGGCGTATGGACAAGGTACAGATCGACGTAGCCAAGACCCAGTAGTTTCAGCGACCTCTTCAGGTACTTCTCCACCTTGCTGACCTGCATGGCGATCATGGGCAGCTTGGTGACCACGAAGAGGTCGCTCCTGGTCATCTTGCCCGACTTCAGGGCGGCCTGGATGCCCTCTCCGACGCCGTCCTCGTTCCGGTAGAAGTACGCGGTGTCGATGTGCCGGTAGCCGGCTAGCAGGGCGGTCTCCACAGCGTCCGCCACCTCCTGGCTCGACGCACGCGAGCAGCCCAGCCCCAACAGCGGCATCCGCTGCCCACTCGAGAGCGTCACCGACGTGTTCATGGTGCGTGGCGGTGCCTCCTCGGTCCGTGCCGGCCTAGGCGCGACTGAGCCGCCCGACAACCGGCCGGTGTTGTTTATCGCGGCGGACTTTGACCGACATCTGGGGGCCCGTGGGTCACGCGTCATGCAGCCAGCGTAAGCCGCATGCTCTGGCTCACAAATTATACATCCCATGGTCTACAATAAGCATTATACGTGTAGGAATTCGAGTCGAAGGGAGTTAACAAAGTAACGTTTGTTATTAAAGGGAATGATTCCCATTTTAAGATATTGCAGCAAACATTAGATGTCATGAAACAGGCTCACTTATAACTATTGGTATATTGTTTTAAGTGGAAAGGACTCTCTGCTTAGTAACTATGCTCCCCACAGCGCCATGGTTTGATTATGTCATCGTACCTTGCGCAACATTAACTGAAAGCCCACTGGCAACCGTTATATTTGGAACTCGCGCTTTAGAACGTTCAATATCAACGCCACGACAATGATATTTCTTTGGTCTTGATCGCCGTGTGGCTTGTGGAATGGCAGTACTTGAATGGCGTAATACTGACGTTTTGAATGCCAGTGACCCTGAAATGCCATCCCCGGTATACCTTCCACATTTTCGCGGGCGTGTGACTCGGAAACTAGATGGGCTTAGATCTTCAGGACAGGACTGTGAACAGCACCGAAAGGTCTTCAAGATGGCCTTTTCAGTTCAAAACCCCATATCAATGTGGAGCATTTCCTTTAAAACAGGGCTGAGAGTAATATATGTCTCACTAGGGGCAGCTCGCATATAATAGTTTTACATTGCTTTGTCGTAGGTGGTTCACCTTCGACGACAAGGAGTCGGCCTGAGCGTCAAAGGCCATGAGGAATTAAGAATGTCGAGTGGCTATAAAATGCTGCGGAAAGAACAGCTATCAGGAAATGCTAAAACCAAAGTAACTCATGTAGAACAATGCATATGTAAGCGCGCAGCTAGGATGCAGACAGAAGTGACGGCGATATCTACACTATTTTGAAGTGATTCGATCGCGCCAGCAAGCCCTCCAGTTAGGGGAGGTGTGGGATGCCCGAGGTGTACAAGACCACAAATTATGAAGGCTAATTTGAGTGATAAAACAATTGGCCACCCGCAAATAGTACATGGCTCATCTAAGCTTTTACACAAGCTGCTTGAATATTACTTTTGGATGGCGCATAAGGGGAAAAAAGTGTAGCGCGTTCAATGTCGGACCACCAATGCTGGTTTCCAACGTCACAAGTAATGCGAAAGGTTATAATGTAATACCGATATTGTATTTGCATTAACCCACATGTGCACATTCTTATAACTTCTACCGCATCAAAGTAATTGGTGAATCAGAACAGAGGACAGCAAATAATCAAAATGCAGGGCAGGGCAGACCGCTGTCGCCTTCTACCCTACATGTAGCGGCATCGTCAAACTGCTTTTCCGTTCCCACCCAACAGCCTCATCGTGTCACGTCCAGAGCCGGAACAGCACAGAGTACACAGCCACGGTGATCAGTGCAACGATGCCACCCATGTCCACAGCGTACCTGCGATGGCTCACGCGCCATGGCTGGCAAAGAGAAGGCACCATATTCCATTCGAAGCTTGCAACCGCACGCAGCACATCCGCAGGACAGAAGACGCCCGTCATCATGGCGACGCGAGACTCGGTCCGCGCTGAGCGAGCGAGTCGCCTATGTACCAAGACCATCCGACCTGGCAGTCTGCTCCAGGCCGCCGCTGGACCGGCCTGAGAGCGGCCTGCCCGTGCCAGCTGACCCACACTCCTCCGCCCCAGTCACGCCCACAGGCCAAGCTACACCCTCCGCAGCACGCATTGCTGTTTAGTTGCGTGAAATGATGGAGCAGACCGTTAACCACCTGGATTCATGCATTCATTCTGTTTGATGGCTTACAAACCTATACCGAAAACGAACGGTTGTCGATTTTGCAGCAAGCAATACGATTTCTAAAAAATAAATACTAAATTATTAAAAATTAATAATTTTACGGCAAAAACAATGCAACGCCGGCTCGGATACTGGTAGTTTTACAGATTGGGCAGGTGTAGACTTGCTTTCAGAGCAGCTTCTCCTGCTCAGGAGAAAGCAGTCCGATAAATGTTAAATGGCTACGGCGCCGGAACTGCTAATTACAGACCAGAGAACGCCCGGGCAAGACAAGATAATGCACACGGAGGCATACCTCGCAACTTAACACTTCCATTCCAGGTACGCCAACAAAGTTGGCTACGTGACACAGCCTGGGGAGTGGAATAACAGTCTAGGGCTACACTCTGTCTTAGAGGACGCAGCCTGGGGAGTGGAATTACAGTCTAGGGATACACTCTGTCTTACAGGACGCAGCCTGGGGAGTGGAGTTAAACTCTAAGGCTACGCTCTGCCTCAGAGTCAGGGCGTAGCCCTTAGTTCCAGCCAACGAACAGTACAATAATTATGCTACAAACGTCCGCGGTGGACAACCACATAGGAGACATGGAGAGATCGGAGCAACAGTCTCACAATCTCAGCGTTGTGGCACAATTTGGCCAACAGTGGAACACGTCAAGGGACCGGGCGTAACACGGCGATGAGGTGGAAGGCAAACTAAAAGAAGTCGGGACCGCGCAGCTTTCAACAACTCAGCAACTCAGTTCCCTATGACGGAGGATGTCTCAACTCAGTTCCCTATGGCGGAGGATGTCTCAACTCAGTTCCCTATGACGGAGGATGTCTCAACTCAGTTCCCTATGGCGAAGGATGTCTCAACTCAGTTCCCTATGACGGAGGATGTCTCAACTTAGTTCCCTATGACGGAGGATGCCTCAGCTCAGTTCCCTATGGCGGAGGATGTCTCAACTCAGTTCCCTATGGCGGAGGATGTCTCAACTCAGTTCCCTATGGCGGAGGATGTCTCAACTCAGTTCCCTATGACGGAGGATGTCTCAACTCAGTTCAATACGACGGATGATGTCTCAACTCAGTTCGCTACGACAGAGGATGTCTCAACTCAGTTCGCTATGACCGACAATATCTCAACCCAGTTCGATATGACGGATGATGTCTCAACTCCGTTCGCTACGACAGAGGATGTCTCAACTCAGTTCGCTGTGACCGAGGATATCTCAACTCAGTTCGATATGACGGAGGATATCTCAACTAGCTCAAGACTAACTGCACGTGGCTGATTTGCCGAAGCTCCAAAACAGTGACGTGGTAACCAGGTAGCCAATGATTGCGTGCTTCAGCGCAGATACATAAACTTGGGCATGAAACCAGGGCATGGAAACTTCACTTGGCGACCCGTGAAGACCACAGTCCTGAGAAAGGGGCTTCGCCAGGGCAGCACTTTTCAATGGAGATTTGCAACATAGTGTCTTGAAAAACAGTGCTTCCATGAACTCATACCAGGGTGACGGAAGGTCCTCTGTAGGTAACCGTAATATCGCACATTCCAATATTGCATGTTTTCGACCGAGTGTGCGTGTGAATGCGTGAAAAATGTAACATCGTACCTTTTGCCGATGCTGGTGCACCAGCTTAGGGATGTGCTTTGCGGGGGTATGGATGGTCGCGTGTAGGAGCGCGAGGACCTGGAACCATGCGTCCCACCGACACTTATGACAAGAGAGTCGGGACTTCTTGTCCCACTGGTTAGTCCAGTTTCGAAAGAAACCGGCACGGGTAGAAGGGTCATCAGAGGATGCCATCAGCATCTGGATACCTACAAATTGTTTGTGGTGAACGGCGGCGATGGGGACAGCCCTGGCCCGTGCGGTTTAAGCGGGCGGAGGACGGTGGTGGTCGGTGCACATCAGCCAAGCAAAAAAATCCAAACGCAATGTCCTGGTCGGCCATGCGCCCCCGTCGGCTCGCCACGCAATCCGTCGCTACCAATGCGCGTATTTTGGGTCCCGACGACCATTGCGAGTATAAATACCTGATCATGCCTCTTGTACACGTATTTGCATTACACAGACCCAGCCGGCGGTAGGCTGCAACACATCCTCTCGGCTGAGACGCGCATGCTTACAGGGAAGCACGGCAAACGTTCTGCTAACAATGCGGGCAGGCTTGAGTGCGGCGCCACGGTGTGATTGCCATGTGACTGTCAGCAGCTGGTCAGTGGCAGAGCAAGCAGCGCGCTGCCGGCGCCAGCCGCCGTCTGCGCATCCGACGTGTTTAATGCTGATTATCAGAGTTTCAAGTGAGGCAGCATTCTAACGTGAGCCGTTAGTATCCTATAAGGGTTTATATTAATGTTCTTATAAGGTTTTTAACAGACAGTATTCTTTAAGGTATAAGGTCAGTGACGTCAGAGGTAAGCACCGTCGTCAGCAGAAGCCACTGCCCCAGCAGGCACGGCAGGGACAAACTTACCGAGGGGCTCGATGTAGCGGAAGATTTTGCTGACGATGCCCAGCGCGGCCCGATACTGGCGCAAGTGGTACAGGATGACGGCGTAGTTGTAGTAGAGGATGCAGTTGTCCACATCCTCCAGCGTCTCCAACCGTTCAGGCCGCAGCTTCGCCTGAGGCGCGGCCAGGAACAGGCAGGTGTATGTGACAAACATTCGGAAGCATGCTGTGACAGTGATCAGTCAACACCATTCATCATGAGCCATAAAGCACAAGTACATAATATACAACACCTACAGGAAGGACAATCATCAAGGTGTGATGCAAAAAAAAAAACAGCAAGATATCATGTGCACCACATGTAGCAAACAATGTCTGAAGGGATTGTACATGGAATTAAAGTTTGACCCTACCCCAAGATCTTTACAGAAAAAAATATAAATGGTGTAGCATAGCTGAGCCAAACCTTGCATACATGTAGGTGATTGAGTAGCAGACCTTTTGGTGTACAAGTTAGATTACCTTGCGAGGTCCATGACCTCAGTAGGTCAAAGTCAGGTTATGGTTATTACTGAAAGCAATTTCTAGAGAATCATTCAATCTGATGTGACAGTGAAGTGTTAGATGAAGGAATACATCTTTGAGATAGTTTCTTAGACAATGGGACAATGAAATATAGGATAACAAGTTCTTTTGACTTGAGGTCAGATATAAAGGTCAGATGGAGCTCAAAACCAGCCTGCTTTTTTTACTAGATTATGCTGTATGGGGTCATTTCTGGTGCTCATTATGAAGTTATTGATATCAAGAACTGTAACAAACATCTTCCAAAAGTTTCTTAAATGTCAGGGTATGTCACTAAACTAAAATGACCCCATCAACAATTTGATTTGAGGAATAAATCACCTAGCAGTCCTTTGATGCTTACTCAAATACAAAAAAAAACAATGACATAGGATTTTGGTCACCATGACCCTCCAAAGGTAAAAGAAAGTCATAAATATTAAAAGAACATTAGTGACCTTTTGCTTAGAATAGACATCTAGGTTCAAGGCATTTGCATGAAGTTGGGGGCACTTTGGATGTCCAGAGTCTGACCTTTTTTACCATATTTGACCCAGATGTTATGAACTACAAGCCTCAAATTTGGACAGAAGTGAGTTCACATACAGTACATCAACACACCACATGAGCTTAGCATACCTAGCTCTCCTAAATTTTATGATCAAATGGTTGCAAATTGACCTCTCAACCAAGTGAACAGCATGCAACTGCCTACCCCAGTGCATGTTAATGAGCACATGCAACTTACCTTCTCAAAAACAGACTTGAGGGCTTTTTGAAAAGCCTCAGTCTTCTTAAGACCACCTTTATAAAACTCGGCTACTGCCTTATTGTGGGCAAGTTTAAGGTCACCATTTCTGTCAGAGGGCAGCTTATCCAGGACTTGCAGGCAGTTGGAGTAGTTGCCCTTGTTGAACTCTGTTTTGGCTTTAACAGCCAGCTCTTTGTCAGAGCTACCCAGGTTTTTGTCCCCTTTTGAGGTCATCTTCCACCTGCAATGTGCAGCTCAGGTGTATAATTTCACAACAGCACCACTGTGTGGGATGAGAGCAGGGAGTAATGGATGACTGCAATTGAGCCATGACAGTGATTTGTGGGTAGTGGTCAAAACAAAATGTGCAGTGAACTAGGGTAAATATAAAACATGAATATCATATCTATATACCAAAACAAGCCAGCAGGTGATATCTAAAAACACAAGTGAGTGAGAAGATCAGGGGCCAGAGAAAAACAGGGAGGTCAGGGGCCACATGCTCCCTACTTTTTTATGGGGCCAAACAACCCAAACAAATAAAAGTAAGGAGAAATGTTATACTGCACAAAATATTAGACATTTGCATGACATGGTTTAGTACAACCATCATGATGAACCACAAATTTGTCCAGTTGCTTACTTACTTCATGCATCTAATTTTTCAAGCCACTACTCAAGTGATACTTGCTAAGGATGAAGATTTTGACCCCAAACAAGTTATGACCATAGCTAATACTCCTTATGAAAAGGAACAGTTTATGTAGGACTGACAAATGCCGTAGATCACAAGCAGTCACCTTGAAACTCACATATGGAGTGGCACTATCAGGATGCATGCACATACATTAGTTTGCTGTGGTGCCAGTGTGTGGCAGTATTTGCACAGCAAAATTCCTAATGTCATTTTCATACAATTACTTTTCTATATTGTGGAGAAAACATGACAGCTGGACAGCATAAACATCGTGAGCACATATCTTGAAACACATCAGTATTTTAGCTCAATTTTTCAGAAATTGACCAGAACTTTTATGTCATCTAATGACTAGATGTACATGAGATAATGCCACATAAGAAAACAATGAGACAATTCCGTATCATGTCCGTCGTAGGTGGTATTTAGAACCCATTTATCAGCAAGCATGAACGAAATTAAAACGATCCTCGCCGCACTCTGAATTTCGAGGAGCTAACCAAAAATAAAAAAAGGATATGGAGAACCCCACCACACATCAACAACCCATCATCAAATCCATGCCTTTGCACCGATATCAACTCACTCCTCAACTCAGCGCCCGTGCAGCCCTTGTCATTAACGTTGGCACCCTACAGTGACCACGGCCAACTGAGGTTCATGTTACTTAAGCTACAATCTACTGACGGTCATATTCGGTAGAGAAAAATAAACGGAACTACTTGGGCAGCTATTCCGGTAGATATTTCCACCGTACTCTAAAAGCTTAGATTTAAGGATTGTTTTTCTTCGACAATTCTTCCGCAGAAAATTCAAATACGGAAAACCATGGTTTCGTGGTTCTTGATGGTTCTTGGTCTGGTCGGTCTGGTCATGAAGTAGTGTGAAGTACACATTTTCCAAGCTATCAGTGATTTTGCTGTAGGCTGGTGCCAGGCAATCGGTACGACCAATTCTGTGTGATGGGCGATTGCTGGGGCGTGTGAGGGTGGAGGGGCTTACAACCCTTGCGGGGTACCTGGACGCGTAGGTACCAAGCAGGTACTGATAATTGGGAATAGAAATGATCACTGAGTTCTTAAGCTTTTAGTGCATTCATTACCATCAGCATGCTTAGAAGGAAGTTATGTACTGTTCTATTTGCCTGCAGGTATTTGATTTTGTTCCCACATGCTGATGAGGAGGTGACTGGCAGTGTGTGAGGTGCACATGGTGTACTTTCTCCATAAACTGCCATTGAAACATCCCATGGAAGATCTTTCTCCAGAAATAAAGAAATAAAAATGCATTGAGATACTGTTGATATGGGCTGTGGGACTGTCATTTGAAAATGGGCACACTGGTAGGTACTTAATGGGCATGTTATGCACTGCTGTTCTTACTGTAAAAGTGTGGCATATTTAGCATGGGAATGTGGCATGAGGACTCCCCATTATGTAAGTCTGTGTGCCTCCATGACACATGGGAGTCAAGGAACCAAATGAAATATACACATGTACATTAAAAACCATGTCTGATCTAAGTAATTTCTACAGTGTATACATCAATGTTGCAAGAACTACAATGCATTTTTGCAAACCATTTTTGTGAAACCTATACCCAGTCAGAGTAATGGCAAGCTCAGAGGAAATCCTTTTTCATCTCAGCGAGAAAATAGACTTTATGCAGGTATGTAGCAACTGTGTGATCAATTGATAGGAGGCAAATGGTTTCAGGACATGTGGTCATTCAGCAGAGGGTTATGATATTCAGCTTGAGTTTCACTATGCCAGCATGTGATAACTAGTAGACCCACCTATAAGCCATGTGATTATTATTCTGTGTGATGTTTATATTTGGCACCATCTGCCATGCATATAATTCCCACAAAAAATGTGCTGACAAGAGGTTTATTTCATGTCTGCTTGACATGCAGGTGCACCTGGCATCTGCCTCATCAGCTACACGTCGCTCTCTGGAGTCGGGTCTGGAGCAGTTGCGGGCTGCTGGCGGACGTGTGACCAGTGGCGAGGCTTGGGAGGCAGCCCGCCAGCGCTGGCACCTCCTGGCTGCCGCTACTGCTGACCGCTGGCAGCATGTGCGGGAGACAGCTGGCCAGTTTGACCTGCAAGAGTTTATCGAGAAGGCCCGGTTCCTTGTGCTTACTGATGGTAGGGTCATGGGCATTGTTGACATGTGTATCACTGCCACAATGGTACAGAGATGCCAGGTTTATGTCTGGCCTTTTCTATCACTGAGCATCAGTTATCATCTATTCATACATAATTTTGTTTGCATACTTTGCTTGTACTTAAAGACCATAATCCACCAATTTCTGAATATGCATCACCATGGCAAATATTCTCCACTGGTTCGGCCATACTCCTCCTGTGGTAGCACACCTGTCTGTGTCTGATCGCGCTGCTCCTGTTCAGTGAGCACGATCCATGTGGGTCTGCTGGGCGCCGGGTTCGGTGCTGGCCTGCTGGTCGGCTACCTGCTGGGACGGCGGCGGCGGGCGTCGCCCCTCGGCCGGCCCGCGCTCATGCGGGCCGTGGTCTGCTGCGGCTACCAGGGGCTCGACGTGAGTGCTGGCCGCCACTGGAGGTGTGCTGGGGGAGTGCTGAAATATGGGGCTGGCGCGATTACTGGACGAGTTGTCACGGCTGTATTGGGTACATGTGTTCGACTGAACATGGTGCCCGTTTGCCGCAATGGGGGATGTGCGAACTTGGATAATTTGCATATTTCTTTGGGTTTTTGCCCCACTCGCAGTGACGTATTGGCACAAATGATGCATAGATTGCTAAGAAGCACGAGTACGAGCATGCACACGCACCGTCCGTGTTCTGAAAAATCTGAGGTTCGTTCGCTCCTTACAAGCATTGTTGTGGAGCGCAGCTCCTGCTTGTTGACAACTTAAAGTGTTCCGATATATCCGAAGAAGGGCGCGGTATTTTGACTCGAAGAGAGCGTTCGTCGGGTGCACCTCTGGTGGAGGACGGCCGCCGGTGGGCGGTGGTCACCCTGCCCCTCTCTCGCGCGGGCAGGACGTGCTGCTGGTGGAGGACCAGCCGCGGCCCGAGATCGTCACGCCGCACGAGGTGCTGGTGCGCGTGAAGGCGGCCGCCGTGGACCGGGTCGACCTGCGCATCGCCTCCGGCTACGGCCGCACGCTCCGCCGCCAGACCAACAAGTACAACCCGGTGAGGCGCGGCCGGTGGAGGGGTGCTGGATCGGAGAAAGGGGGAGGCGAACGCCGACAGGTAGAGATTGGCCCAGGCGTTGAACAGGGCCCAATTAGCACCAGACCGCTCGGAATGTATGGAGATGTCTTCAAAATAATGCTGAGGCAGTGTTGAGTGACCTGCAATTTCAGGACAAGGCAACCATGCCATGCTGCAGGGCCTTGTGGCTTGCTCACTGTGGCGGACATTAGTTGCTGCCCTACAGCGATTATTTTGATAGATGCTGTGATGAAAAAAAGACTGGCGTAATAAGGGTGTACGTAGTTCTGCCGTGTTGTTTGTATGTCCGCGCGCTGTCTGGCCTTCCGCGCCGTCCAATTTGTGACTGACCAGGCCGGGGCCGCGTCGGCAGCACGTGACTTCGGAGCTGCCGGTGGTGCTGGGCCGTGACTTGGCAGGAGTCGTGGACCAGGTGGGGCCGGAGGTCACACTCTGGGAGGTCGGCGACCCCGTCTGGGCGGCCGTGCCTTTCTGGAGACCCGGCACGCTGGCCGAGTTCGTGGTGCTCGACGAGAAGGAGGTACGTTGACTCATCCCCGGCGCGCGCGAGAGGCTGGAGTATTTGGGGCCGTTGTCTCCCGGTCGGGGGAGGGGGGGGGGGGGGGAGGAGGAGGAGGAGGAGAGAGCGGACGGCTTGATCGGTAATGGTGATCGCAGGCTACGCTCTCTCGTCATCTTTGTCGGTGCGCTGCTTTTGCATACGTGCGTGTTAACAGGTGTCAGCGTCGTGTATTGACTAACTACACTGGACGCAGCTACCTTTTTAGTAACCAGGCTGACATAGGTTCCCGGAAGCTGTGGGCGCAGTGGCGACTTGTGAATGCGCTGTGGTTTGCTCGGTCTGTTTATTGCGCCCGTCTGTTTTGAGCGTCTTGTGAGACGGGTGAACGTTGAGGGCGCAGTTCGGTTCGGGATGTGATTTTCTTTGAGTGGCGGGTGGTTCGTGCGGTAAGCCGTGATGGTGCTAGCTAATGTAATTGTTTGCAAATGAGGATTCGGTTTATGGAGTTGTTCCCGCCCATGATTCCAATCCATGTCATGTTCCCTTTTGAGAACTCCGGTGTTTGCAGTGGTCAGCCCTGGCAGATCCGCTTCGTGCAGTGTTTTGCAGTGAGGTGTTCAGTTTCTGTCACGTGGCTCGCCGTGATCGGTTCAGCTTCGCCGGCGCTCGCCAGTCTAAGACGTCCCCCCCCCCGCCGTGATCGGCAGCCTCCCGGCGCTCGCCAGTCTCAGACGTCCCCCCCTCCCCCCCCCCCGCCGCGATCGGCTCAGCCTCCCGGCACTCGCCGGTCTCGGACGCCCCCTCCGGC